CACTGATGAAATCACACTGAGAGGGAAATTCGACCTAAATGAGAATAATGGTTTGGGAGACCAACTAGCATGACCATGTGGACCTCTTACCAGAAAGGTGGTTTGTTTACTTCATATAACTCTCCTGAACACAAGTTTCTTTAGCAAGACCATAGATGAAATGTAGATGATAATGTCTAACCAATGGGGTTCTCTCTTGAATCCTTCATACAGTTTTCTTTCTTTTGGCTGAAGCAGAGATTGATCTACTTGCAGTAAGTATGAATTGAGACCAACAATTCTTAAATCAGCACTCATGTGTTGGAAACATACTAGAAGAAAACACAAACCCTTTGGAACAGCCTGAGTATTGAACTATAAAAATCCAACTTGAAATGCAGAATAAGCACAACTAGCCTATGGTTATTTTTATTATAGCCCACCGTAGAATGGACCATCCGCTAATATGTATTTAAAATGCATTAAAAAGAAAATAAATGCTGAGCTGTGTTAACCTAAATAATACCCTTGAAATCATCTCTGACATAACTCAAAATCCCAGTCATGTGTGTGTGCATGCACACACAAGCACACACATGCGCACCTTAGTTTACCTGCCAGGTCTTAGCCTGAAAGGAGTATGTATTTTACTCTTAAATCCTCGAGTTAGGAGAAAAAAGGGAGGGGAGAGAAGAGAATAACAATGAAAAGGTTGATAAACCTTTTAAGATAGTAGCAGCAAAATATACTGCACAACCGAATTGCCAAAATATAGAAACACAATATATCTTTTAAAAACAGGAATTGACAAACACACATCGTTTTGTCTGGAAGCAAGTAAGAAAATTCATACTTGGGTATTTTCCAAAGGAGTATGTCGAGACATTTGAAACAAGTTCACTGGCCCCTCTCATCAGCTGAAGACTGAGTACTGTGCATCTGTCATCAAACATGCAGTGTGCATTATCTTCTGTGATTCATCACTCAGTTTTATTATAATTCAATTAATGCCGACTGTGTATGTTTTAATCACCTTAGTGAATTCAATTTAGTCCGTTCATTTTATGTCAAGAAGCTGCAACAATTATATTTCAAGGAGAGAGATACACAGAGATGGCTGAGGAAAATTTTGAAGCAAACTGTCAGCAAATTCATAGACTCATAGATTCATAAATTCCAAGGCCAGAAGGGACCATGGCTTTCTTTTTCCTTCTTCATTATTATTATTGACAATATGAGAACAAAACTTAAGATGAATTCTCCTTATTAAAAAATCCCTTGTAAATAGCCAGATAGTAGATATTACGTTACATTAATCCTACAACATTTTCTACATTTTTAAAAAATGTAGTGATAACAAAAGGTGACAAATTGACAAACCTGGAACTGAATCTCTTCTTATTCAGTAGCAGTTTACGGAAAGTGAATAGGATTTGCATGAATAAAAGCTACTTGGGTTGTAAAATTGGGTCCTAATTTAGGATGATAAAGTAGTAAAATCAATTGGGTCAAAATATGTGAATGATTGACAAAATTGGAAAAGAAGAATGGAACAAGGAAAATGTCTTGCAGGTAGGGTACTGCTGCAGTGGTTTCAAGACATTTTAAGATGGGACATATCTTGCACATGGTCTGTGGATGACTTGTATCAAAATTTAAAAAAATAGACATATCTGACTGGAAAACTGCTGTACTTGAGAGGACAAGAAAGCTGGGGAGGGAATCATCATTGTAGAAGATAGAACAAACAGCAAGTCATGAACAGAAGAAAACCCTTGGGCATAAGTGGAATCAGCAGTGAAGTGCATATAGATAGGGGACTCTGTCATCCAGACAGTTTGAAGAACTAAAGCAGGCCTCGGGCAGTAATAATCCCACTGAAGAAGAATGGATAGGAAGACAGAGATGAACTCAAGAGGCATTAGTCAGTCTGCTTCATGAAGCATCATTATGCCTGGAAAAATATTTGTTGGCTAGAAAGCTCGTGAACAATAAGCATAGACACCTAGAGGATATGCTCTCGGGAGTCATTCTTGGCTGATTTTTCAAAGATGCTGCGCACTGCAGCTGCCATTGACTTATTGCTTTGGTGCTCGGCCCCTCTGAAAATCTGATCATTGATTTTAGAGTGGAATGTGGATGTGGAGATCAAACCTTCCCTAAGATAAATGTCCTAAAACCCTTGTGTCTCCTTGTAAGTCCCTATTGGTATTGCCATAACATTAATTTTAAAAACACTTTTCAATTTTGTGCTTCACTCCCCGCAATTCCCACAGTGGTCTCTGCTTTGCCAAAGTTCCCAGTCTCATCTGGTTCTTTTTGTCAGCTTTTCACACACTCATTTGTACTCCTACATGGAACTCTATGCATGGTACAACCTCTCCGGAGATAGTCCACAGGGCCACTATCCTGTCTGCATTTAAGTCACCCCTAAAGACATGCTCACAGTGAATCTAGTTGATTTGTACATAAAATGATTATTTGTCTTTCACCAACTTCTGACTATTTCTCTGTCTTTAAAAAGTGAGTACCTCAGTGAATGCTGCTGGAAAGAAAGAAATAGATAATTGAGCTAGTCGAAAAATTTAAAAATCTGATTTAAAGAAGCCCTTAGGGAAAAAATTGATGATATTTTAAAAATACAATCCCACTGCTGCCTTTTGACCAATTGTGATCAAAGTTTTAATCATTGCAAAATTAAAAAAAAAAAAAGATTTTGAATTTTTATGAAAACTCAAGGAAAACATTAAAAAAAAATCAGTTCTCTGCCCTATTTTAACCAGTTTTAATAAAAGAAACCTATTTTTTCATATGTGCTATCTAGTTTCTGCATGGTAGCTAATGCAGAACCGGAAATACCTTTGTAAATTAGTCTTTGCTGATTTTCCCCCCAAATCTATGAATATAACAGAAATTAGTTTGCAACAAATATTTCAAGCAATGGACAAGTGCCCCTGGTCCTCAGGACAAGCCAGCTAGGAGCATGAAGATAACTTCCTATGAATCAGTGCTCAAGTGGTGTCAGAACGTTCCGGAGCAGCATTCCAGGACTGTTTTTTGGGGAGCAGGAATGGTGTTCCAGTAATTGTGTGATGTCATAGTTTGGCTCTGTCTTTACCTTGCAGCAGGCAGGCGCACTCAGATCACCCTGGACCCAGCTCCCTGCTGTAGGAGGTGAGATGGTGGCTTGGTAACCTGAACAGTCCAGGAGCAGGCCTGGAAGCAGATGCCGTGGAGGAGACAGTGGATCCCCCATGTCTCTGCTTCCTCATGGTCAGTGTCTCCCTTGCCCTCCCCATTAAATAGTGAATGCAGCCCACAGCCAGTGCCCCCCATGTCCCTGCCTCCCCTATGGTCATTGCCACTAGCACCCCTTCATCCCCGCAAGGCGGGGAAGGGAGAGCCCTTTACTGCTGTATAGACTGATGGGTCCTGGCAGGAGTGAACCACCTTCCTCTTTTGCTGCCCATGGGTGAGTTGACCCTGACTAGGATCAACAGGGCTCCAAGGGAGAACAGGAGATGGCCCAGGGTTGTGGGAGGAATGATCTACCCCAAACAGTGGTTAAAGAAACAGGTCTGTCTGTGCAGGTTTGTTATGGAGATGGTGCCCCTACATTTTAGTATGTGTGGCTGGCACCTCCATGGGAGCTCTGGTCAATGACTTAATGACCTGTCAGTCTAATTGACGCATGCATGAGCAACTGATGTTTTGTTTCTGTGGGTAAAGACAACATTATAAGTGATTAAAAAGTGCACAGGGATTTTGTCATATTCTTCTCTTGCTTGCAAGAAACAGAAAAGCGACATTCAAAGGTAAGTTTGATGGATTTTGGTCAGATTTTATTTATTTTTGTGTAAACTTTCCTGTAAACAGCTTATTCTCGTGAACAGTTTGTCATATCAAGATGAAAAGTGGTTGGCCACTAACAGAGGTTCGGGTAGAAGGCAAGAGGGAAAGCCCCTGGGAGTGGAAAGTTTGAAACTACTTTGGGGGTGCCAGGGGTGGTATTACATATAATTTGATTTATTTCATTGAGTGATGTCAATCCCACCCATTTTTGTCTTCTGCAGATCTATCTTTTCTTGGCTACATAGTCCTAAAGGAGGGATATGACAGTAGCTCTAGTGGGAGCATCTTGCATCATTTGATTTGTCTCATCATCAGATTTTGAAGTAAAATTGATGTGAACTGTTTTTAAACTCGTAAGTTTCAGCAGCAACATCACCCCCATTCTGTTCAGCATTGTCAAAAACATCCTCTGCAACTCTTCAGTGACCCTGGCACTTGCAGCCTTGGCAACTGCCTCACTGCCTTCACCAATTTCCAACCCTGCCCCTTGTTCGAGTTCCAATCAATCAACAAAAGGAAAAAATGTGGAATTGAATTTGCATTTAGCTCTGCATGAATGCTTATCACCACTGAAAGCAGGATTTCCTTCTTACTGGAGTGAAAAGCAGACCAGCTATTTTTAAAAGACTAATCTGTGGCTGTTTTTTACTGGTGGGCAACTTGGTTGCTGGGTTTGCCAAGAGGTTGGAGGCTAAGGAGCAAGCACAAGACAGAATGTTTGTCAGACTTCAAATGAGTGGTGCGTGTAGTGTTGGATTTTATGGTGATATAACTAGGTTACAGCACACATCACTGAGAAAGAAAATGTTTTTACGTGGGAAAAATGCAACACATGCTGCGACCTCTCGGATTGTACTTCATACAAATAAAAATGTTCCAGAGAATGCCGTTGGTGAACAAAAAAGACATCTGTATGAATCTACAGGTTGAGTATTCCACGGTGTTTACTTACGTGCAAAAAAGTCTGACCACTGAATGATCTTCCTGACTTAGGTGATTTGCAATGAAGCAGTAGTTTAGATATGGATGTTATTTTGCATTCTGAGTGGTCAGCCCATGAAATTGCAGACCTTATCAGACAGGAAATGTGAAACAGAACCTTATAATGAAGTTACTGCTTCAGGGGCAAATATTTCTGTATTCAAAGATGAATTGACTACTGTAGCTTCAAAATTGATGTTGATTTTCTATATACGTACAGTTAATCATTGCAAGGCTGTTTCATTATTATTTTTTTTACTTAATGGAATGAGAAGGAAGTGATGCAGGGATGAATGTTATGGCAATCAATGCTTGTTTAGTAAAACATGGTTTGTGCAATGAATATTTGATTGGGAACTTTATCAATGTATGTAGTGACGGTGCTAGTGTCATGGTTGAGACATAAAGTGGAGTGCTGACTAGTTTAGCCAAGAACTACAAATCTTATCCAGTGGTACTGTCTGTGTCACAGAAATGAATTTAGCATTGGGAATACCATTGAGGAAGTTGGACGAATAAATCACTTCAAAATTGTAATGGACTCGGTGCACTCAGTTTATAGCCAGTCTCTCAAAAACCAATGGGAACTTAGTTCTTGTGCCTCCAAATTTGCTGTACAACTTAAAGTCAGAAAAATTCGGAGGGTGTGTTGGGTGGCTTCCACTTTTAGCGTGGTAGTGGCGGTGTGGGAAAATTATACAGCTCTTCACACACATTTCACATTTGTGTCTGAAGATCAATCATATGATGCCAAGACCCAAGAGACTTTCCAGGGGCTTACTAGGTCATTGGCCTCTGAAGAGTTTGTTTTAAAATTGGGACTTTTGATGGATAGTCTAGAGGAGGTAACTGAAGTGGCGGAACACCTACTTTAGCTTGAGTGTATCCAGTGGTCAATAGAACTGTTTGGGCAATTGGGAAGATGAAACAAGAAGCTCCCCCATATATATCCAAAACCATAGCAAGCTGTTGCTGAACAGGTTTTCAAGTCAGTACCACTGTTGAAAAATGCATCCATCCACAAACAATCAGCCAGCAACATTTTTGCCTTAGCTTAGCCAGCAATCTTAGATCTCTGTTACTTACCACTGTGGTCTCAAATTGCTCTATCCTTCCTGGCAGGCATAATCAACATACTGCCTCCAACTTCAATGAGCCGATCGATCAGATACAAGTCTTAGGTATGAGTAACTGGCCAGTAGATACAGAGATTCCCTGGTATGAGGGCAAGAAGAAGTGAAGAAATTATGTGAAAAGTTACATCTGAGTTTTGAACTGATTAAAGAAAGCTTGTAAGACTACATCCATTGTGAAGGCAAAGAGGTCCTCAGTGATCTCAGACTTCTAGTGTTTGCTATTTAAATGATTTCCATGACATTGGCTGATGCAGAAAGAGGGTTCAGCATGCTGAACAATATCTGCACCCCCTTAAGCAACTATTTCAAAGTACCTCAGCTTGCACAACTGATGTTCATTAGCTTGCTTGGACCAGTCCTGTGTATTCTTTCAACCCAGTACTGTATGTGAAGAGGTGGCTTGCAAGGCTTTCATCAGCAGATGACACAAAAATCACAGAAATGGATACCTGAAGAGACAGCACAAGGAGCAAACCAATATATTTGGAATATATTTGTGTAGACAATGGAGAATGTGGTGTGTGTATATATATCTATATCTATATCTATCTATCTAGAGAGAGAGAGAGAGAGAGAGCATCTTTCAAGTGTGCAAGAAAAAAAAATACTGTTATTCTTATTGTCAAAATCATGAATTCCAGCACTTCTTTTTTTGGGACTTGAGCACTGCCATAAATATGCAGACAGGCCCATTTGCCCTGGCAAAAAAACAAAGCAAACTGTTCTATAGTATCTTAGCATTTACACAACCTACGAAAGTCAAGATTGTGAAACTGACTCTTTGGCATTTGAAGTTTGGACGTAACGTCCACAGGCTGTGATGCTCCATCAGTTTTAATTCTAACAAATCCTCATGGAAAGGGTTTTTAGGTGTGGAGCTCTATAGAAAAGATATCTGGGAATGTATATCAACCTGGCTCTGCCCCTGTCTTGCCCATTCCTGCTCCCTCCACCTCTGGACCCCGGAACCTTGAAGTGCCCTCTGCAGGGTCGGGGGGTGGGGGGGAGGGAAGGGGAATGCTCCTAAATAGTAGCTGACTCCCAAATCCCTGCAGGAGTAGGAAGACCCAGGTGCAATGGGTTACTGCCCCATGCTATGAGGAGCAAAATGCCTCCCAAACTTTATCCAATTTTCAAACCCAGAAATTAAAGTAGTGAGTTCATCTGCAGAATAGTCTGAACAACAAATACTGGGGTAAATTCATCAGTGAGGTTGGTAATGTGTTGTAACGTGTACCGTTTTGGTATTAAATAGGCATGCAAAACATATATAACCTAGCAGAAAAAGTAAATAACAGAAGGATATAACATAAGTCAAATGCTGAGTGGGGGCGGCTTGATCTTAAATTAAGAACATAAAAATGGCCATATTGGGTCTAGCCCAGTATATCTAGATATCTAGCCCAGTATCCTGTCTTCTGACAGTGGCTGGTGCCAGATGCTTCAAAGGGAATGAACAGAATCGAGAAATGTATCTAGTGATCTATCCCCAGGGTCCCATGTACTCCACGGCAAGCTTGACCTAAATTGTGCAGACCTGGATTCTGCAGCACTTCAGTGCTGCAGGCTGGAAATTCTGCAACAGCCTCAGATCAATTAAGTATGAAAGTGAATATTGCACTGGAGCCCCTATGTTTTCTGTGATTCCACAGGCAGTGAATTTGGTCTAGAATCCGCCCTTTGCTGTGCTCTAAACTCAAATCAAATAATTTGGGTCTGTAATGTTTTTCCTGTGATGGACTATCAACTGGAAAGCTTCCCACAGTAAACACTTCTCTGCTCAAAGAAGATATGCTAGAGATGATCAAAATAAATCTTTAAGTTATATTTTCAAGAACACACCTTTGTAATAAACATAACTTCAGAGGTTCCAATAATTCATTTTACCAGATACATCGTTCATGAACGCAAAACCACCACCACCATCTACAGCACTTTCTCATCTTTCCTAACTGCCATATGCCACCAGCAGTCATGTCAGTTTTTGTGTGCCCTCATGGCCCCAGGCATCCTGAGCAGATGGCTCTCTGTCAACTAATCAAATCCACACAGGGCAGATGCCACAGAGGCTAGAGCAGTCCAAGTGGGCTCCTTTCTGGGATTATATTTTTGTTTAGTTCCTATCAATTTGTCCTCATGCATTAGCATAGCATCACAAGCCCTACCACCAAAAGGTTGATGATTTTCATATTAATAAAGGCAGTCTCTGCCTTTAACATGAGGTGCTGGAAGCCAGTTCTACTCTGCTTTGAATACTACCTCTAAAAATGTAATGTAATGCTTTGGAGCTTCATGTTAAGAGTGTGTCCACACAATACTTAATACTTGTGCAGCTGTTAAGCTTAACATAGTCTTGCTCTATCATACATACAGACTCTTCTCAACTTGTATTTTCTAGATTACCCTGTTCAGGTTCTGTGAGATTGGTGACTGTTCTCTGTAGCTCATCTGCATTTGTTTAAGCGGAAACCTTTCCCACTGTGCCCATTTCTTTAAAGGAAAATTGCAGTAATTTATAGGATTTTCTTAGATGACTACAGAAAAAAAAATCACATAATTAGAGCATACAAGTTAAACAAATCAGTTATAAGCACATATTTTAACAATACTACAAAAGTTTTGAAGTCTCCACTGATATGAACTGGACAGCTATGTGAACACTGGCAGCTGCCATTTTAATGAAAATACCCTTTACAGACAGAGGGTAATTTAACCTTTTTGTGCATACAGATCGCTATATATAGATATTTATATAGAGAACAAATGGTAAATATACCCCCCCCCCCCGTGCACACACACACACCTACCTGTGCAGCTAAAACAGCACACAATGCACCTTCCTGTGCAGTAAATTTGCCACTGTGTGCCTGACCTCTAGGGAGTCTATCAAACTCATATAAGCAATCCCAGAGGGCTTTGTCACCCAGAAACCACAAATGGGCTTCAATTGCTTGTAATTTGCTTTGCTGGACATAACTCTCACACCACTGTCCAGACTGTTGTACTTTGTCTACTGCCATTTAACCACATCTATCACCTCTACTAGTACTTTACTGAGGCACTATGAGGTGGTGGCCTGGGTGCAATCCTAAGAACATAATGGAAGCCTGGTAGATGTAGATACGAAAACACAGGGGTGATGGCATTTAAGGTACCAGGTGGGGATAGACTGAACTGTGTAATTTACAATTGGTTAAGTCAACCATGTCTCTGTCGGATTACAAAATTCACAAGTGCACTTGCTGCGCGGTTGGGTCTTGAGAGTCAGGCACTTCTCAACAGGCTGAACCGGCATGAAGAGCTCTTGTGGGTGACAGAATGTTTGTTCTGACAGTCTTCTTGGAAGATTTCCCCTCTCTGACATCTGAAGCTCCCCTTTAATTTACCCCCCTTCTTATTTTTAAGTGTGGGCTGGCTTTAGAGAAAGATCCAAAAAATCTGATAGTCTCCTCAAGCAAAAGAAATTTGTCCAACTCCTTGAGTCTTTACCTGCGTCAGCCTTCCATGATCACAGCCATGTGCATCTCCTGAAACCAGCGTTCGAGGCCATGGACCAAACTAGCGATTTGAGGGAATCAAGAGATTCATCTGCCTTGAGCAACAAGGGTAGAGAGGTCTTTTATAGTCTGGCTTTCAATTATTTTCCCTTTGAGGGAGTGGCTACTATGAGCTCATCCCTCTAGGCCAGAGCAACACATCTAAAGCTTTCAAAGCTAATGCCAAGTCTGTGTAAGTTATGGTTTAGGAAAGATTTCTCTTTCAAGTCTGCAGACTCTTTGGGAGGGAAATCCTTTGGTGGGAATCACTGCATCTATTACAAGGGGACTGTTGCTGCATCTATTTTAGAAGGGTTACTCTAGTGTTCCCTTTCTGCTTTAATTACCTCATCAAATGCCTAGTGTAAAAACAAGCAAAATTCCTTTTTACATCCCCAAAGAAAAGGCTTCTTGAAAGTCTTAGAACAGCAGCTTATTACTCTTACTTTCTGAAGCTCCCTTGGTTTTGAGCTTTGATTTTCTGCTGTTTTGCCTGAAGAGTTATCAGATAAAACATTCTTCTTCTAGTACTTTTATGTTAGCCTGTTAATTCCTCCCTCTTGTGCATGGTCTGTTCTGGCAGGGGCTTAGAGCAGTGGTTCTCAATCAGGGATATGCAGACCCTTGGGGGTATGCAGATGTCTTCCACGGGGTACATCAACTCATCTAGATATCTGCCTAATTTTATAACAGATTACATAAAAAGCACTAGCTAAGTCAGTACAAGCTAAAATTTCATACAATGCCTTTATATTGCTCTATATACTATACACCAGGGGTTCTCAACCTTTTTCTTTCTCAGACCCCCTCAACAAGCTCTAAAAACTCCACGATGCACCTGTGCCACAACAAATGTTTTTCTGCATATGAAATCCAGGGCGAGCGTTAGGGGGTAGGAAGCAGAGCAATTGCCCAGAGCCCCATGCCACCGGAAGCCCCATAAAGCTAACTTGTTTAGGCTTCAGCCCCGGGTGATGGGACTTAGGGCCCTAGGCTTCTGCCCTACACAGTGGAACTTGGACTTTCTACCTTGGCCCCAGCGAGTCTAACGCTGGCCCTGCTTGACGGACTCCCTGAAACCTGCTTGTGGCCTGGCAGAGGGGCCCAGACCCCTGATTGAGAACTGCTGCTGAAAATAAGAAAGCAATTTTTCAGTAATATGTGCTGTGACACTTTTTTATTTTTATGTCTGATTTTGTAAGCAAGTAGTTTTTAAGTGAGGTGAAACTTGGGGTATGCAAGAAAAGGGGTACAGGGACCTAGAAAGGTTGAGAACACTGGCTTAGAGGATGTTGATTACAAGACGAGGTCAGATGTAAGTATGAAGGTGGCAAGAGAATTAGACATCAAGTAATACCTGGACAGGTTAACCAGGAAGGCTATGAAGTGCTGCCAAAAAAAAAAAAAACTCTCTCAAACACCTGAAAAGAAAATTTCTGTGGAAAGGGGGTAAGGGAGGAAATGGGAGATATTCAGGGAAGGAGAAGGAGACAGAAGATCAGTTATGTCCTGGATGCTAATTCTGAGCAGACAGATTTGATTTTAACTCTTCCTCAACCCACACCACCTGCAATTCCAGGTCCTTTTAATACTCTACGAGAGGAGTATCAGCTGAGATGGTCTACACTGAATTGCTACTGTATACTAATAGAAGCAAATACAGGGCAAAGGGTTGTGAGGCAAAAAGCAGCCAGAGTAGAAAATCCATCAACCTGCTCTATATTGTAGGAAACTCATTTGGTGGCCAACTGGAAGCATTGGGGTGAGCCTCAGAGACAACTAGCCTGACCACACACAAGAGGAAGGTCATGTGGAGCTTTGATGATGGTTCTTGGGTAGAAGAAGCACTTTGTGTCTCCTCTGCATAGGACTGGAGCAGTCACAGACACAGTGTGCATCTTTCTTCTCTTACTTTCTCCTGTCACTGCCATTTTCTAAACCTTTGTGCAGGTGGGAAAAGGGGAAGCCAGCAAACTCATTATTTTATCTCTTAGCGCAATT